AACAACATGAATCAAATATGTACTTTATTCATTTACATTAAATGTCATAATGTACATCATTCTGATTGGAGCTAAGGGCATACACTGTCTAATACTTACAGTATTTCGTAGGGTTCCCCCTCTTGGGGTTCCGCTTCAACTTCGTTGACCATTTCACGAACTTCTCTTCCCTTATCTGCATCAGAATATGGGTGCGGGTTGAGTTGAGTGGCATATAGTCCCTGTAGGCTAGGGTGGTGGGCTTTTTGTTGTCTTTGCCGCCATTGTTGCCAGGGTTGTGCTGGTATCCACTTTCCTCTTCTTCTCCGGGGGCCTGTCATGGCGCTCGGATGCTCTTGCTTGGTTGTCTCCGACCGAAGTCTCTTTGGCCGCGATGTATTTTTGAGCCTTCTTGAGGAATTTGAGTTTGGTCTTCGGTGGGGTTTTGGCAACCGAGCACTTGAGAGACGAGCCAGGGCGAAGTCTGTTGATGGCCGCAGGCATGGAGACCATAGGGTCGAGGTCTCGAACGTCGAACTTTTCTTTCTTGAAGCGGTCGATATAAGACTGCAAACTTTCACCTGCTCCTGTTTAAGTGACATCAGAGAGACCACACTCTTTTGGCATTGCTTGCTACTGATGAAGCAGGCAAGGAATAGGGTTGTAAATTGCTCCCATGAACTAATTGATCAAGAAGGAAGACTGGAGAACCAACGGTGTGCAGCTCCCCTAAAGGTAGCCTGGAAGGTCTGGCACGTCAATGAGCGCTCTGAAACCCTCCAAGTGGTCATCGGGGTCAGTGCTTCCTGTTAGACAGTGTATGCCCTTAGCTCCAATCAGAATGATGTACCTTATGACATTTAATGTAAATGAATAAAGTACATATTTGATTCATGTTATTATTATGGTGTGTTTCTGTGTAATACCCTTAAACTGGACACATATGAGACTCGTTTTAGTTTAGAATCTTCACAGTCGTTTGATAGATCTAGGGAGATTTATCCTGCCAAGGCTGACACTGATGTGCCGCCAATTTGGTTGGAGTGGGTTGTCTCAGTTGCCAAGGTGAGACCTGAGACACATGTAGTGTGGGTTTTCTTGAAACCTTGAACCGGACCAGAATTCTAGTATTGCCCTGTACCTTGGAGATAGATGGTCAAAACTGGAATGTTACACATGACCCCTAGACGCGATTATGATATTGCACCAGGTGTTGGATTGGGCTGTCTTTGATGTACCAATTAGTGAGATCCTTAGAGGGGGTCAAAACCTGGGTATGTTGGGACAGTCCGAGAATTCATCTGAGTGGGTGATCATAGTGACAGGATCAACCCCTTTTCGGACAAAGTGAATGATCAGGGATGCACTCTCTCTGATGGAAACCAAAGCTGCCGGCAGCCGATTTCAACCAATGAAATTTGTTTTGCAAAATATATTTATATAGAGATATATATATAATGGTTTCAAAATGTTTGCAAAAGGTTTTAATTCCTGGGATCCATGTGAGTAGAGAGTGCAACACTGTACCTTGCAACTGAGGGAGAGGTCCTCTCTTGTCGGGTAGTGTTTGATCATTATGAGTTGAGAGGCTAAGTGTAAGATCATTGGGGGTAATACCTGATGGGCTAATCTTGCATCTGCCCATAGTCCTTGGTTTTTATAAGGTGGTTTGACCCAAGGACCATTTAGTGTAAATTTGGGCCCATTAAGAGCCCATGGTAATGGACTCAGGGGTTCACTATCTCCTATAGTGAACTCGGCCAAGCCTTGTAACAGAGGCTGGGCTGAACCCATGTGGTTGATGTGTAGATCAATGTTTGGGTCCCACGCCATACAAGAATATCCAACTGGGCAGTAGTTTGGAGGATAAGTGAGCACACAAACTTAATGGGCCTAAAGCCCAATTCGAACTGGCTTAATTAGATTAATTAAAGAGGGGCGGTTCTGGGATTTAGATCAGCATATAGAATAAGGGATTGTCCCTATCCATTCAAAGAGTCCAGATCCAATTAAGGATTTGGATCAGGAAACTCCTAATTAGATTAGGAGAGCTAATCTTTATCTACAGATAAGATAAGGGATTATCCTTATATCTTAAAGAGCGTCCAGATCCAAATACAAGATTTGGATTAGGAAATTCCTAATGGGATTAGGAGAACCTATCTTTAAGACTATAAATAGAGGAGAAGGGCAAACCCCAAGTCCTCCTTCAGTCTTACTGATACAAGAGAGAAGATAGCATAGAATTGGACTAACGCCATCTTCTGCTCTTGCCCTCTCCTGCTATTGCCGCCATTACTAGTTCAATCTCCACGTGTAGGAGCGATCAAGAAAGGGTTCTTGATATCACCTTTTGATAGAAAAGGCGATCTAAAGTCGTGCTCATTCGCCCTCCATCAGATTCTTGGTGAAGAATTAGGTTTTTGTTGAAGAACCACCCTGTTGATTCTACTCCACCCTACGCTGTGTCATCTTCAGTGGGAGTAGTCTTTGGTATTCTCCTTGGGCGTGAACACCTTAGTTGGGGGTTACTTCTACTTCGCATCAAGTATATCCCTCCCCTACCTTTTGGTTTCAGATCTGGTCTGGTTTAGGTTCAAGATTGATCCTTGAAGGGAATGTGATTCCCACGTAGGAGAGAGAGAAATTTTTGAAACTTCACCCAACCTTCTTATAGGGTTCGTGCATCCATATGATGGATCTCTCATCCCGTCACTTCCGTCATACGTTTCTATTGTGGGAGCCTTGAAGTGTGGGGGGAGAGGCTCTAAGATGATTTCTTGGGTGAATGCGTCCATTCGACCAGTAGAGGTGTCGTCACTGGTTGAGGCGTCGGCTCAACTCTCCTTAACTTGGTGGATCTCGTCCTTGATGGCCCCAATCTCGGTTCGCAACTCGGTGATCCCTGGATCGGCACAGGCATGGGCCTTGCTCTTGTCTTCACGTACCCGATGGGCGTCGGCTCGGACTCTCAAATACTTCGAGGCAGGGCCACGTGCTCCTCTGCGGTCGCGACGGTCATTCAGAACGTCCCTGAGGTCTGAGACGGGAGGGGGAGTGGGATGGTGTCGGCTCTCTTCTCAAGAGCGAACTCCAGGGCAACCTAACTGCCTGCCATCGTATAGGGGGACCTCCCTACGACAGCGGTGGTGTTGCTCCGAAGATTAATGACTATCTTCGGACTGAGTGGGCGCACTCTCCCTTCGACTCAGAGGACAGGCATTCCTTCGAGGTGAGTCCGGGAGGCGGTTATTGCCCGATTTTGATGGTTCGGCCAGCGGATTACCATGGCCGAGGGTCGATATCTCGATGTTATCGCACTAACCCTGATCCTCTGACACCCCAGTGGGGTGGTCGCCTTGACAGGCACCTCCTGCTTGGGGGCAGACTTCTTCCATTCGTTGGGTGAGGCGGTCCAAACGATTAAGAACGACTTGAAACAGTTCGTAGGTAACCAAGTTTGGGGTGTTCCTGGCTCTCCTCACCATGGTTTTCGAGTTTACAGGGGTTTTGGATGATCTTAGAGTGTTATTATTGTTTATCCTAAAGTGGGGGTCGTCTAAGCAACAGATTCCCACAGACGACGCCAATTGTTGCCGCGCGGTTTGGCAAAGGGCAACGAGGTAAATTTACTCTTCATGTTTTGAGCGTGGTACGAGGACCCCGAGGCTTCGAAAGAGGTTGACTGCAGTCGAAGATAGTAAACCAAGGCGAGGGCTATGGTAGCCAAGGACTACTAGGTGAGGTGAGGTCCTTGGCGACCTGAGGCACTGCAAGATAGAGAGTGTTAGAGGCCTCGGGGTGGATACCCAAGGCGGGGGCTCTAATGCTCAAGTTAGTATGAGGTGTAAAGCTAGGGAGGATGTGAGAGTGTTCCGGGAGAAAGTCCTTGGATGCACCAGATCTCTCAGAATTAATGCTTGATAGATAATGTGCATGCAGAAAGTAAATGAGTGAGTAAATGTTGGAGTTACTCTATTTTGGCACATTTTCAGGGGTAGTACCTCTTATTTATACTCGAGCGTGCTGGTGGTAGGTAGAAATGAACGCCTCGGATGAGAGCCGTACAATAGGGCTCTCGCCTACTGTGGTTGACGTTAGCAGGTGCTAGTGGGCTAGGCCCCTCTAGCCCTATGGGGGCTGGGCCAAGCTAACCAACATCAGGTACTAATATGGAATTTTCCCTTTAAAAAAATGTAAAATGGGTATTTGAAAATAGGGAAAAGTCCCGATCAATACCCTATACTTTGGCTCGATTGACATTTGGTCCCTGAACTTTAAAATGTGACAATCCAGTACCCGAACTTTCAAAATGTGACAATCCAATACCTATCGTTAACCAGTCCGTTAATAAACTGTTAAGTGGCATTTGAAAAGTCAAAAATGCCCTTCGAATGCCGTATAATTCTCTTTATCAACCATCCAAATATTGACAAAAAACTATAGTCCCAAATCCTAGCCTCTTCTRTTCAAAAAAGTTGGTGACTATTTAGAAGAATCTAGAATTTGGGACTATTCATTTTATTGTCAATGTTTGAATGGTTGATAAAGATGATTAGATGGTATTCTTAGGGCATTTTTACTTTTCAAATGTCACTTAATGGCTAATTAAGGAACTGGTTAACGACATGTACTAAATTGTCATATTTTAAAGTTCGGAGACCAAAATGTCACTCGAGCCAAAGTACATGGTACTGATAAGGAATTTTCTCTTAAAAATATTTGATTTATTGGTCTAACGTTTTCCGTTTCGGCCAATGATGTAAGGGAAGTTTTTGTTGAATTCTTTAAAAATTTAAGGGAGGTATTTTGCTAAAGCAAAACTAAAAGAAAGGTTTTTATAGTTGTGAGAAACTTCAATAGAGGTTTTGGTATTTTACCCTAAAATAAAATCCAAAACAAAATTAAATTGTCCTAGTACAAATAAAATTGCACTGCAAGCAAAATTAAATTGTCCTAGTACAAATAAAATTGCACTGCAAACAAAATTAAAATGTCCTAATCCAAATAAAATTGCACTGCAAGGCCTAAGAAAAAGGAGAGAGAGCTGGGAATGGATAAGGGGAGGGTGGATATGTATATAACAGAACAAACCGTGCTTGGCTGTGTCAAGAACCGTCTCGTCAGCCAGTCTGTGATCGCTTCGGTGATGGAGCAGTCGGAAAGGGAATGCATCATAGCTGCTTCTGAAGAGGTTTCTCAGCAGTTCAAAACCCTGATTAACACCGATGATCTCGACAAGCTCAAGCAATTACAGCACCTCATGTACTCTCTCTCTCTCTCTCTCTCTCTAGTTACTGCTGATATTCGGATTTTTAAGCTATGATTTTGGTGCTAAGATCTTTTCCATTTGTAAATTGAGTTCTAGAATTGGCATTATTTGGATTTTTTTTCATTGTTTAAGTGTTCAGAAATCTTTTTACCGACTTTGATTGTGGTTTTGATCTGGCATTTTTTTCGTAATTAATAATCTGGCATTTTATGGTTTTCCGGAAATATAGTTAGAATCTCATTAGAGGAAACGGTAAGAAGGTTAGTTAATGATTAGTTTGTTCGATCCATTTAATTAACTGGTGGATGGATGCAAATTTAACTTGATAGAAATTGCTGAAAATTGGATTTGTGTTTTGAAGGTAGAAAAGGTAAAGGAAGTAAAATTCTCATATTTAGGATTTGGATTTTCGTGTTTGGATTCTGTATCTGAGCCCAAACGTGGATCTTGGTTGTTTTGCATTGTAATGGAAACTTTTCTTTCCCTTTCTGTTTGTTTTTTTTTTTTTTTTGTCTGTTTTGCTGACATACAGAGTTTAAGTCTATTTAATAATTGAGTTTAAGAAGAAAATCATAATTACATAGTTAAATATGGTGCTTATTTCAAGGAAGCAATAGTTTGATGTGGAGTGAGGCTGTTTTTGGATTGTGACAGAAAACGAAAGGTAGTATGGGAATTTTCCATGCGGAGTGGTGGAACTCTAGGGATCTTTTCCTTTGTTTTGGCAAAAATTAATTGAGAAGGGGGTGGGGTTTTGGCAACTAATTTTTTTCCCCTTTGATTGGGGTATGTGTTAGGGGGGGTGGGGGTTGTGTAATTTTATTCCACTCCTGATTTGTGGAGGGTTGAATTTGGTTCTCATTTTTGGCCTGCCAAATCAAAGGGGGCCTAATGGTTTGATGCTCATTTGTTGTTACTTCATATATTTCTCTTTTTATTTTGCAAAAGAAGTCAGGTTAAAGGGTTGTAATTTAGTAAATTTAAACCAAAGTGTCAATGACAAGAAGCTACAAGAGAACTATATGGATTTTTTTTTTTTTTTCTGTTGATTTCCTTCTTGCATTGATGTTGAAAATCTTTGCAGGAAGTTCTTTATAGATTCTTGCTAAAACCCCTGACAGTTAAAAGATTGGGACTTTGATTTATCATTTTGGCATCCCATTGGTATTGTTCAAAGTATACTAGCACACAAGAAATTATTTTCCAAAACCAAATTCTTACTCTTTTGTAGCACCTTGGTTCGTTCAAGTTACCATCAAATTTGCTTCCTATGATCTAATTGATGGAATTTTTATCAGTCCTTGTATTGACTATGAAACTTTTCCACTTCATGCACCAATTGCAGATTGGGAAGGTTACAGGACAGCAATGCAGTCTTATCACATTTTAATGAATACTCAGAGCAGTGTTTTGCAGAGATTTCTGGTGATTTATCAAAGAATACACGTCTTTTAAGGTCCATGAAATCAGACCTTGATTATATTTTTCAGAAACTAAGGTACCAGAACACCACTTCTCCTGGTTTCTTGCTTTCAATATGATATCCTACAACCCGATTTGGGAAAATTACTTAAACTTCCTGTGTTTTCTGACAAATACTTAAACCTCCCCCGTACTTGGACCCTTTGCAAAAACCTCCCTAAACATTTCACATAAATATGCAAATGCACCCCTTCCTTTAACTATCCTTTAGCGGAGATGTTAAAATTACAACTATGCCCTTGTCATGAATGTGCACAGTGAACACTTTTGTTCGCTCTTCAGGTTGCCTGAATATGGTGTTTCTACTAATAAGGAAGGTTTAAGCTCAACCGCAATTTAGCCTTTGTTGTTCACTTAAGTACAAAATGTAACCTACTTAAATAAAGTGAATCACCTTTATGAGGATAATGTGGTAAATCTTCATCCCAATAAAGTTTCTCATGGGCAAAGATGAGATTTTAAAAACATTAAATCATTACATCAGCATTTTCTGTCAGGACAATTGATGGAAGGGTGCACTTGCATATTTATTTGAAATGTGAAGGGAGGTTTCTGTGGATGTCAAAGTACAGTGAAGGTTTAAATATTTGTTAGAAAACACGGGGAGGTTTAAGTAATTTCCTGCTAGATTTTTCATGCTTAAGTGGTTTGTAATTTTGTATGTATGGAGCAATGGGTGAATTTGACTGTTGTGGTATTTGGATAGTAGTTGATTTATTGTTACTCTTTTATCTTAGCCATTATGGTATGTTTTATATTTAGATTATTGTTTTTGTTATTTGCAAGCTAGAAAAGTTTTTATAAGTTGCCTTGACAATGCACATGATTTGCATGCTTATCAGATTGTTCTTCCACCCAAGAAATCCAAAGTGATGTTATGCATTCATTTTTTTTTTTTTTTTGAGAAAAATCGAATGCATTCACTACCCAAAGTGATGTTAGGCGTTCAACTATGGTCCTCTTGTGGACAATTAAGATATATACCGCATGGGAAAAGGTCGTTTATGAGAAGTATCATTTGATCACATGAACTTCTAAAGGGGAGATCTAAATGGTGGGATTAGATAGTTTGACTTCTTGGTCTGAATTAGTATGTGAATTTAACTTCCACAGAAGTATAAGGAACTATATGTTCCCTCAAATGGGATAAAAACTTAAGTCGTTCTGTTTTACATTGGCTGCTTTCTTGGAGAAGTCTTGGTTTTTATCCTTCTCTAATGAGGAAAATCCCTTACCTTGGCATTGGATTTGGTCTCTGACATTGCCACCATGGTTCATATTTCATGTGAGCAGATTGTTTTGGAATGATACTACTGATCTCAAGGCATTGCTGACCCACCCCCACCTTCTCTTACATCGCCTATTCTCAACAATTATTTCATCCCATTTTATAACCCTTTTTGAACAGAGGACCCCAAGGTTATTCTTTCTCTAGTTCAGTCTTAACTACCAAGAGGATTTTGCCAAAGATGTTTTGTGCTTTGGAGCTTTGGTTCTTTTTGCCATTTTCCAGTTAATGCAGACTGAAAGGGAAAAAGAATTTTTAAGAAGACTTAAGAGGTTGATCAACTCAAAGGGAAGCCAGAGAGAATGCTGCTGTTTAGGCTTCTATTCTCAGGGTACTTTTTGGGTTTAAATGTAGAAAACTCTGAAGATTGTACAAAATACATTGTAATTTGACCTTTAATGTATAGGTTGAATAACCATGTAAATGCTCTTTGGTGGTATGCCTTTTGCTTCTTTGTATATGGTATTTATGTTCTTTTTATTTGCTATATTGCTCTCCTCATCCTTATCATCATAATCACTTATAAGTGAAATTGACATTAATTTGCATTTATGATTCAATAAAACAAAAGAAAACAGAAATAGAGAAGGGCATAATGAAGAAAAGAAGAGAATCTCAACACTCCCCTTACCAACATGAAATAAAAGCAAATAACAGCCTCTATAAGAGACCAATATAGCAAATAAAAAGAACATAAAACAGTGCATAAAAGAAAAGAAATAGCAGCTCAACATTCTCCATCAGGAGTATTCTTGTTCCAACATCCCCAGGAAAGAACTTCTAACATTTCTAAAGAAAAGTTCTCACCAGAAAAGAAAGTCTGTTCTTGTTCCAGTTCCAGTTTCAGATATACTCATCTTTTAAAACTTCATTCATTTCCTATCTTCCAACTAAGCTATCTACTTCCTAATTGTTCAAGTTTTTCCAAAGTATAGTGGATCAAAGAACTTATCTTCTGTTTTCTTTAAAATAACCATCTGTCATTAACTTCTTTTCATATGCCAAGTATATAGCTTAGTGAAATCCTGAGGAAGCATTGTAAACTAGTTATCCTCCCAAAGAATGCACTTTCTTCCATTACAACATTAAAACAGAATGCTCTGTAGAATTCTTCAAATAACTATTAGATGCCTTCCCACACACTCATCTCCATTAGTGTTGTCAGTCCCATTATCAATCCTATTATAATTCTATATTTGGTTAAAATAGCTCTCCATCAGAAAATTACCCAGAAGGCTTTTATTTATTGAACTTGAAGGTTGCACTCCTAAATCATTCACCTTTTTAAATCTGCATATCTTATTCCAGCCAATTATTTGATTCTTAGTAAATTAGTATCCTTTGTTCATTTCCAAGGATGTTTCTGTTTCAGCCTCCAAAATGTCACCGGTTGTCCACCTCTTTTGAATGTAAAATGGAAGAAAACGTTTGTAGGTTAGAAAAGAGTATTCCAACTAAGACTGATATTACTTCATTTTGATTTGTAAATTGTACCACCTCTAAGTTATTGCTTTATAGAACACTAAGTGTTTCCCTACTCCATAGGAGTAGGAGCTCACTATGCACTCTATCATAATAGTTGCCTTAAAAATTATTTTCCATTTATCTATGTAAATTCCACTTTGATTAACCAGACTATTAGATTTAAGGATTGATACTGCTTTAGAAACTCTTAGGATACGTCTATAGTATTTGAATTGTTTCTATGATGTATTACAGAAGAAAATAAGCTCATTAGCACATAGAAACAACTCAAAAAAAAAAAAAAAGATTTCTATGTTATAAAGAATTCACCTATTTCTTTTTTATACATGTTCCACATCACAATTTCTCTTGGATCTTTGTTAGTGCTTGAATCAGATTTTGAGCTAGTTGAATATGGCAGCGTTTCAAGCATCCCTAGGTGCAAGGCATGTTCCTTGCTTGAACTGCTGCACAACCTCTTTCGAAAGGCACACATTTGGTGCACCTAGGTGTGGACCTTTTTTAAATGTATCTGTTAGTGTCAAGTATGTAGGGGTATTTCTGTCTTTACGCTTATGTTGAGTTTGCTGATGTGTAAGATTATGCTAGAACTATGTCCCTCACTTAAGTAGGGGCACATGTGTCTTTTCCATTATGTTAGTAAAATAAAACACATTTGGCCAAATGGGAGAGGTAATCTGTCTCTCATTCGAACCAGAACTTTCTCTCCCTTTCTTCTCTTCTTTTCTTCKCTGATGTGTAAGATTATGCTAGAACTATGTCCCTCACTTAAGTAGGGGCACATGTGTCTTTTCCATTATGTTAGTAAAATAAAACACATTTGGCCAAATGGGAGAGTGAATCTTTTCTCTCATTCGAACCAGAACTTTCTCTCCCTTTCTTCTCTTCTTTTCTTCTCCTTTCTCTCTTTCTCTCTTCTTTCTTCTTCTCTCTTCTCGACTGTTACCGGACTAATTGGACTCAAGGGTAGGCCGAATTATAATATGGTATCAGAGCTCAACTAAGCAACTTGGATCTGCCCAGATTTCTGTTTTCTGTGCACCCAGTTTAGGGTTTTCTCTTGGTTTCTTTGACATCAGTTGGATATAAGGGAAAGGGCTGAAAAGGAGTGATCGCCCTCTTCCCTTAGAGGTTTCTATGCCTCCAGTTTTGCTGTTTGTGGTTGGTTGCTGTGGTTTCTAAGAAGCCCTCCCCTAATCGATGAAGAGAAGAGGGATGATTCGTGTGGTGCAGTGGGTGTCTTGTGTGGTTTGATTTTCGGGTGATTAGGTAAGAGATTTCTATGCATTTTTTTTGTTGTGAATCAAGTAATAAGTATGTTTCAGATCGTATGGTGGGATTTCAGACTGTAGTGTGCTAAGGTTTATGCTATTTTCAGTGTGATTCGAAGGGAGAGTGGTCCTCGTACAGTGTGGTGAGATTTCAGGTAGTCGTGGGTTAGGGTTTGTGGTGTAAAGAGTGCAATTTTCAGCAAAAACAAGTGCTAAACCAATGTGATCAATGTGTGGTGTGGTCTGGTGTGCAGTGTGCCGAATTCAGCAATGGGAGATAGTAGAAATAACAAGTCTAATGTGATGGTCCCTACTGACTACCTGAATGTTCAAATGATCTCCATTAAACTGAATAGAGAAAATTATGTACCTTGGGCTAAATCTGTAGAAGTTTTTCTTAAGGCAAAGAAGAAGGTGAAACACATAAGGGAAGAAAAACCTTTCACTGATTCTCATGAGTTTGATGACTGGGAGCAAGAAGATGTACAGACTATCACATGGTTATGGAACGGTATGGAACCCAAGATTAGTGTAAATTTCATGTTTCTTGACACTTACAAAGATGTGTGGGACCATGCTAAGAAGTTGTATTTTGGCCAAGACAATTCAACAGAGTATATAAGCTATATCAGGAATACTTTCATCTGCAACAGGGCAATCAGAGTCTTGAGGAGTACTATGCTTGTATGGCTTTATGTGACTCGGTTTTTGGTGGGGCTGAAATCTGAGTATGAACCAATGCGGGCTCAGATACTAGGAGGGTCAGCTCTCCCTTCCTTAGAAGAGGTGTTTACTTGACTTCGGAGGATTTCCATTGGATCTACTAAGAACTCTAGTGTTTTCGACAGATTAGCCTTTGTAGTATTGAGGGGCCATGGTGTTAGAGGTGGAGCTCAGTAAGGCCGTAGTGGTAGCAGTGGATCGGTATATGGCCGGAATGGTGGTGGTGGACCTACATATAACCGTGGTGGT